TCTTTGCAATTTATTATTAATATTGTTGTAATGTACTTTAGGTTCATTTAAGTTAAATGTGTGTCCTGTTGAATTGGAGTGTTGTACTATTAATGATAATGGGTCTTTTCTGTTTATGTTTCTTCTGTGTTCAATGATTCTATTATGCAATTTTCTTCCCGTTTCTCCTACATATTTGGCATTACAATTATTACATTTTATAGAATAAATTACATTTCTAGAACACTAGATAAATATGGAATAAAAACCTTTTATAGCAACTCTCCCAACTTATAAGATATCTTAAGAAACCCGATTACAAAAAACAGGCAAACCGAATATATATCAAGCAGAAAAGAGGTAATTTATTCTATAAAATGTAATAATTGTAATGCCAAATATGTAGGAGAAACGGGAAGAAAATTGCATAATAGAATCATTGAACACAGAAGAAACATAAACAGAAAAGACCCATTATCATTAATAGTACAACACTCCAATTCAACAGGACACACATTTAACTTAAATGAACCTAAAGTACATTATAACAATATTAATAATAAATTTCAAAGATTAATAATTGAAGCAATAGTGTCCAAACAATATAGCAGTATAAATCGCAGAATTGATTTACCAGAAGCATATAATTCAATTGACTTAAATAAAATAAGATAAAAATAATTCAATCACAGTATAAGATATCACATGTCTGATGGGATACCTTGCAAGTTGAAATGCACGTGTATCGTGGATATGCACGTTAAATTTATAAACAAATCTTATTTCAAACTAGTTGGATTACTGTTTTATTAATTCCTGTAGAAGGGCGTATGTGCCCGAAAGCTCGTATATATTTGTTTTAATAAAGAAACGCAGCCCTTTATGCTTTGTTTTATTTACTTATATATATATATCACATATATAAAATTATGATTTATATAAAATATTTTTCCATGTAAAAAATTCCCAATTATAAATAAATCTATATATATATAGGCAAAAGTAAAACTATATATAAAAAAAAAAAACTTTATAAAGCTTCTATATAGGTAAAATGTATAAATAATTGAACATATAACAAGAATAATACAAAAAATTAATAAAAGTGTGTGGGAGTAAACAAATTTTAATCTATTTTGGGGTTAATGTAAGAAGCTTAGCTATCCACACCGATGCCTCGAGGCCAGTTAAACATCTTATTTTGGTAATCTTTTCCGAGCTTTTGTTTCTAACAAAAGACTTTCCGGAAAAGCCATTGTCTTATCGGGCCGGCTTCTGCGATAAAACAAAAAGGAAATGGCCCAACTTTTTGTCGTCTGCGATTTAAATGGGTTTCGCGATCTTTTGCTGACACGAGCACTTATTATCTTGCGAAGGCCATCCATTGCGTGTACCGCTCAATGTATTGGTTTGTAATGGTTGGTCGTCTTCAGAGCGCTGCAATATCCTTCCTAACAGCCGACTTGCTTGTTTTCAACCCCAATATCCTCTTTTTGTTTCCTCCCAGTCTCTTTATACTTCATAGAATTATTCATACAAATGATATATACATATACTCATTTTTTATTTTATAAATGTTTTGACCAAAAAAAGTTTTAATATTATAAATATTATTTTTATTTTATATATATTATATATATAATGATATAATAATTATTAATTTATATATATATTATATATAAAAAATGGCATATCCTGACCAGGAGCACATGTGCTTTACAGAAGGCAGAGCGCCATCTGGTGGAACAGAAATCAACTAAACATTGATTTAGCCTGTTCCCTGATATTTGGCCAACCCAATTTCTTGATAAATCAAGAAAAGCCATCCACGAACGCGTTTACGCGTTTACGTATTTACGCAAGTTTGGCCTTAAATACCCATTTCTTGGTTTTTCAGGAAGCCATTGGGATCAAAAAATCTTTTTTGGTCTCAATGGTTCAGCCTACTCCACGCTGACGAGCGCCAAAAAGCGCGAAACGCGTTCGTGGATGGCTTTTCTTGATTTATCAAGAAATTGGGTTGGCCAAATATCAGGGAACAGGCTAAATCAATGTTTAGTTGATTTCTGTTCCACCAGATGGCGCTCTGCCTTCTGTAAAGCACATGTGCTCCTGGTCAGGATATGCCATTTTTTATATTGATTTCAACACCTGATCTTTTTATCTTTTATTTTTTTTATTTCGTTTTTTAATGTGCTAAGCGTATTTACGCAAGTTTGGCCTTAAATACCCATTTCTTGGTTTTTCAGGAAGCCATTGGGATCAAAAAATCTTTTTTGGTCTCAATGGTTCAGCCTACTCCACGCTGACGAGCGCCAAAAAGCGCGAAACGCGTTCGTGGATGGCTTTTCTTGATTTATCAAGAAATTGGGTTGGCCAAATATCAGGGAACAGGCTAAATCAATGTTTAGTTGATTTCTGTTCCACCAGATGGCGCTCTGCCTTCTGTAAAGCACATGTGCTCCTGGTCAGGATATGCCATTTTTTATATTGATTTCAACACCTGATCTTTTTATCTTTTATTTTTTTTATTTCGTTTTTTAATGTGCTAAGCGTATTTACGCAAGTTTGGCCTTAAATACCCATTTCTTGGTTTTTCAGGAAGCCATTGGGATCAAAAAATCTTTTTTGGTCTCAATGGTTCAGCCTACTCCACGCTGACGAGCGCCAAAAAGCGCGAAACGCGTTCGTGGATGGCTTTTCTTGATTTATCAAGAAATTGGGTTGGCCAAATATCAGGGAACAGGCTAAATCAATGTTTAGTTGATTTCTGTTCCACCAGATGGCGCTCTGCCTTCTGTAAAGCACATGTGCTCCTGGTCAGGATATGCCATTTTTTATATTGATTTCAACACCTGATCTTTTTATCTTTTATTTTTTTTTATTTCGTTTTTTAATGTGCTAAGCGTATTTACGCAAGTTTGGCCTTAAATACCCATTTCTTGGTTTTTCAGGAAGCCATTGGGATCAAAAAATCTTTTTTGGTCTCAATGGTTCAGCCTACTCCACGCTGACGAGCGCCAAAAAGCGCGAAACGCGTTCGTGGATGGCTTTTCTTGATTTATCAAGAAATTGGGTTGGCCAAATATCAGGGAACAGGCTAAATCAATGTTTAGTTGATTTCTGTTCCACCAGATGGCGCTCTGCCTTCTGTAAAGCACATGTGCTCCTGGTCAGGATATGCCATTTTTTATATTGATTTCAACACCTGATCTTTTTATCTTTTATTTTTTTTATTTCGTTTTTTAATGTGCTAAGCGTATTTACGCAAGTTTGGCCTTAAATACCCATTTCTTGGTTTTTCAGGAAGCCATTGGGATCAAAAAATCTTTTTTGGTCTCAATGGTTCAGCCTACTCCACGCTGACGAGCGCCAAAAAGCGCGAAACGCGTTCGTGGATGGCTTTTCTTGATTTATCAAGAAATTGGGTTGGCCAAATATCAGGGAACAGGCTAAATCAATGTTTAGTTGATTTCTGTTCCACCAGATGGCGCTCTGCCTTCTGTAAAGCACATGTGCTCCTGGTCAGGATATGCCATTTTTTTTTTTATATTGATTTCAACACCTGATCTTTTTATCTTTTATTTTTTTTATTTCGTTTTTTAATATATATTATATGTTTTATATAATTTATATATTATATATTTTTATATGATTTATATATTTAAAAATTATATATATATTATAAATTGTTGAAGAATAAAAATATTTTAATTATTATTTTGAAAGTTATTATATGGACACTTTTATTTTTCCGTTCATTATTACTCTTCACAATTCATCCTTTCATACTTCATCCCTAAAGATAGAAATAGTCGTTATTTTTCCTTAAAATAAATTACGACTTTTTGTTCAAAAGAAACAATTTGCGGTAAAACTTGTCAAACGTCTTTTTACAACCATAAGCCGCATTATATTGTATTATATATATTATTTATTAAATATATATAACAGATTTGTTTTTGTCTTGGAAAATAAGATTTAAATATGATCTAATATAAATTATCTGCAAGACAACTTATCTGTCTAGCAAATACATCTCAAGGGCCTTGATACATAGGACAGTGTGGGAGAATGCCTTTTCAGTGCAGAAGATTGAAAGCTCCATTATATCCATTTTAGAATCATCTCTTATTAATGGAAATAACTAAAATTAAATCATAAAGCATCGCGCGCGGTGTTATCTATATTTATAAATAATGCGCCTCATTTGTTAAATATTGTGTCTGCTAGTTTATTCCAAGAATTTTAATTTGTAAATGTCAAATGTCATGTGAAATATGGAGAGTGTTCCAAGTTAAGACATTACTCTAAGTTCCTATTTAAGAAAGGAATCTTCCTTCAGTTGTGATCAATCCGTTTCCTATTGTTATTTCCTTTCATGGGCATTCATCTGATAAACATCAGTTGAAAAAATGTTTATATTGAGTACAAAAAAAGTTGCTTTTTTTGGAAATGGAAATTTCAATTTTTAAATTTAATTTAAGAATTTATATTTAAGCAATAAATATGATATTTTACGGTATTTTTATATCTATGTACTGAATGTTAATATTTGTATGAACATATTCTTGTGTAACCATACACACAGTCAATTATATTCCTTTTAATAATATTTAAGCAATATCTTTTGGGAGATAAATTTTCCAGGTTTTACAGAAATGCACGAATATAGCTGTAATGAATTCTGATTGACACTGTTACACTTTGATATTGTTTGCATAATACGAGAGACGTCCCTGTTGTGAGCAAGCCTCCCTAGAGTGAAATATTACATGAAGACATCTCCTCTGTGAAATACTATGGGCAAGCCTTCCATCTGTGGCATACTACGGGCAAGCATCCCGTCTGTGGCATACTACGTGAAGACATCTCTGCTGTGAAATACTACGAGCAAGTCTTCCATCTGTGGCATACTACGGGCAGGTATCCCGCCTGTGGCATACTACGTGGACATCTCTGCTGTGAAATACTACGGGCAATCCTTCCTTCTGTGGCATACTACGGGCAAGCATCCCGTCTGTGGCATACTACGGGAGGCATCCTTGCTGTGGCATACTACAAGCAAGCATACCTTTTGTAGCATGCTACGGGCAGGCTTCCCTGCTGTGTCGTACTACGGGAGTCATTCCTGCTGTGGAATACTGCGGGAGTCATTCCTGCTGTGGAATACTACAGGCAGGCTTCCCTACTGTGTCGTACTACGGGAGTCATTCCTGCTGCGGAATACTGCGGGGGTCATCCCTGCTATGGCATACTACAGGCAGTCTACCCAGACTTGGCTTATCAAGGGAGACATCCCTGCCCCTGCTAACTACGAGATACATCTTTTCTGTGACGCACTATGGGCAGACTTCCCTGCAGTGGCATACTACGGGCAAGCATCCCATCTGTGGCATACTACGGGAGGCATCCTTGATGTGGCACACTACAGGCAGGCGTACCTTTTGTAACATGCTACGGGCAATCTTCCTTGCTGTGTGGTACTACGGGAATCATACCTGCTGTGGAATACTAGAGGAGTCATCCATGCTATGGTATACTACGAGCAAGCTTCTCTTCTGTGGCATACTACGAAAGGCTTCCCTGATGTGGCATACTACTGGAAGGCTTCCCTGATGTGACATACTACGAGATGAATACCTGCTACGAAATTTTAACACGCTATCTTTCATTGACATATTACAGATATTAAGGTAACACGGTATGTTTCTCCGCTATAGCATACACTATAATAAAAAGTTACCTCGGGGGTATATAACGTGCAAGGTGTCCTGATATGATATATTACTGAGAGGTCGTCCTGCTATTGTGTACTAGGTAGATATCTTCTTGATAATTAGACTCTATATGCTATCCATATTTATACATTGGGATTAAACTATTACTAAAGATCGAGGGGCAATTCTTGCAAAGGTCCAAGCCCACCAGTGAGTGCAAGTAAACAAACGGGACTCTGGAAAACTTGTAAGTGCTAAAGTTGAACTACACTCGTGGTGCATTAAGAGTAAAGGCAGTCGCTTACTACCCACCATGATGATCATAGCGTTCTTGTGATTAAGGTCACCACCACAAAAAATATTTTTTGATCTGTAGTTTCACACTTTACGAGCATATTTAAATCGTATTAATGAATAATTATTGTTTTATTACTAAGAATCTAATCGTTTAAGCAAAATACAATGAACAATGCTTATACTGTATATCTTAGCCATATGTAACAGAGCTAACTTACTTAATTCTTTAATTTTTAATATATTTTACTAATGAAAGAGAGAGAGAGAGCTTATCTATATATATAAAAATGAATGTTTGTATGTTTGTCTGTTGGTTGGTTGGTCTGTATGTCCGGTATACAAATTCGCAGTAGTTCACTAATACAAACCAAAATTTCCATACATAGGTAAAAAAAACGAGGATGACGATAGGCTATTTTAAAAAATATATAAATCAATTATTAAAACTATATATTCAAATTATTCTAAATAGCTCACGAGCAGCGCGCTTTAGAACGCAGTGGATCTGATGGCGGGGCGCGCCCATTGGCCGCCTGCGAGCACGTGGCTTCCCTGTGTGCGCGCATGCGCCGGGAAGCCACTTGCGAGCCGGCAGCCGACGGGAGCAGTCACTTGCTCGCCGGGAGTCAACGGGCGCAGACATTTACTCGCTGCCAGCCAACGGGCACATGTTTAATGTGTTTGAATTATACATTTAATCATGTAAACCCGGGCGTTGCCCGGGTCATTCGTCTAGTATATTATATTTACTTGTAAAAAGATGAATTTGATTATTTCATTAATGAGATATCTCTAAATGATAGTAAATTAAATACTACTGAGAAAAACGCAATAACGTTTGCTATTATCGTAGAATATGTCTCACTCTCTATGTCTATCATACATTGAAGACATTAAAGAAAGACCATCATATCTTAACGGAACTCTAAGCGTTACCGATGACAGGACGCCTTCTCTATAGTGACGAAAACTTCAAGATAAAACGATATTTCAATCACACAAAATAATCAACTTGAAAGAAGAGGGAGACAACGAAAGAAACATGCTAATTAACATTTTGCTATGAAATTAATAATCTTTGTATAAGATAAATAATATCATCTTATATATATAATATATATAACAACTGAACGAATAATTTTTCTCTTTATATTTTCGTAATTTAGCCAAATTCTTTTTCTTGGATTTAGTCGATAAAACTCAAGTAATAATATCGCTTTTGTTCTCATTTTGTAATTTTTATTCAAACCTTTTTAGTATATATTTAAAATTTCTAATTAATATATAAAATTTATTAACTCTAAAAAATTGTTACATAAAATATGGACTTTTCAATTCAGAAACAAAGAAATAAGGTATTTTTGATTATTTATAATTGATGTATTTATCCCCATATTCTAGTAAATAAAATGTCGAACCTATACTAAAATTATTTCACTCCAGGTTCCACACAAGGAGCTATAGTGTAATTTCTATCCGCGCGTGACAAATATTCCCGGGATACTCCATGCGCATATATATTAAAATTTAGTTGGAAATAAAGTAAAGAAAATAGGAAAGTGTGAAAACAACAATAGGATATATAGATGTAAATATACAAAATTGAATATATTTGGATATATGCAATGTATTCAAATTCCAATTTCTTTCCTTTATGCGATCTTCTCCTGAATATTTTATTCGCCTTAATATATTATATATACGAGCGGGTTGATTCAGAAAGCAAATCCAAAATTTACCTAACAATAAGCAATTCTAAAATAATATAATTATTTCCTCTCGTAAATATTTAAATTTGGATTATTTTATATATATATATAATATTTAATATTGTTTATTCAAAAATGTTTTGCTCTTACCATTTTTATTTTTTAAATAAGTCTAACTTCAAGGAAATTTTGAAAGTTTAAAAATCATTTAATCAGTATTTTGCGTTTAGAATTAACCTTAGCATTCGGTTAGAATTGCTAACTAATGTTTATATCATTTAGACATACATTTGTTATACCTAATCATCATCGACCCCCATCTCAGACTTACATTCATTGCCTAATCAGCAACGACTATCCCAGTTAGACCTACATTTCTTATCTAATCAGCATCAACAATCTCTGTTAGACCATCATTTCTTATCTAATCAGCATCTATTATTCCAGTTAGACCTACATTTCTTATATAGTAAACATCAACAATCTCTGTTAGACCATCGTTTCTTATCTAATCAGAATCGATTATCCCAGTTAGACCTACATTTCTTATCTAATCAGCACCGACCATCTCAGTTAGACCATCATTTCTTATTTAATCAACATCGACTATCTCAGTTACATATACATTTAATACCTAATCAGCACCGACCATCTCAGTTAGACCTACATTTAATACCTAATCAGCACCGACCATCTCAGTTAGACCATCATTTATTATCTAATAGCATCGACTATCTCTGTTACATCTACATTTAATACCTAATCAGCACTGACCATCTCAGTTAGACCATCATTTCTTATCTAATCAGCACCGACCTTGTCACTAAGACCTACATTTCATATTTAATCAGCATCAACCCCTCTCAGTTAGATCTACTTTTGTTACCTAATCAGTTTCAACAATCTCAGCTTTGTTTACATTTGTTACATATACTGTGTATCAACTATATCATTTATTCAGAGAAAATTTATATCTATTCAATTTACATTTATTGCTCTTAGAACATCAATTTTCTCAGTTGGGGGGAGAGAGGTGGCAATCTCTACCTATTTATAATTAACTTTCTTAGTCTAAGCACAAACATGGCAGCAAAAACATAATTTTTAAGCAATGAAACAAATTTGTACTTGAAATATAGATTCAAATAATATTATAATTGATATTCAAATAAATTTTTTTATATTTGCAGAGTTTCTTTATTTAGATATCGGGAGGCAAGCTTTCGCGCGGTCAGGCTTCATCAGGCCACTGGCTCCGTGATGAAGCGCGACCGCGCGAAAGCTTGCCTCCCGATATCTAAATAAAGAAACTCTGAAAATATTTTAAAATTTATTTGAATATCAATGAAACAAATTATTGCGTATAGGGACGTGCTATACAGTAAAATGTTTCCTGATTTCGGACCAAATCGTATAAAATAATTTTTCTGCTAAAGTTGAACAAGAGAATTAGTGCTAAAACTGTGGAGATGCATAGAGAATAATGAACTTAATATGTGTGTGTAGTTCCAGGTCAATGGGTACCGAGCCATGGAAATTGCATGGCTATAAAAGAGTTGCGACAGCATTTTATTATAATTGCTCAACATTTGACGATTGTAAAAATAAAACGCCTGCGTAATATTTTTATTACCTCTTTCATTTCGAATCAATGATAAAAGTCTTGTAAAGTATTTTTGTGCGCGTTTAGAGAATCAAAATTAAGAGAGAGAGAGAGAGTGTAATATATGTTCTCTATTTTATTTCTTTCGGATATTTACTTCGAGATCTTTATATTCTCCTTAAGAGCGCAACCAGAATAACAGATAAAAATGAATAAAAGAAAATATACTTCAGTATAGGGTCATTGTAATATATTTTAAATTCTCATTTTGCTAAAGAGCTTGTCCAATGTGTGAATATGATCAATAATAACTGATATGTGGGATTTTGATTGATATCAATTAACACATTCCCAGGATTCACTTATAGCCACGAAACTGACAGAATAACGCATTAAAATATGATTCGAATAAAACAATGGGTGTCATCTAAGAAACAAAATTCTATAGGTAATACAGATATCAGTATAATCTCACACAATCTATTCTAAAACAAAAATAAATTCAATATAATATTTATAATAACTTAAATAAGTATAATATCTTTAAAATGTGTCTGGTTTGAATTACTTTTTTTTATTTGAAACAAAACGTGCGCTAACAAACGAGCCGATATATTCAAATTGTGTATAGATTTACGAAAAGTGTATAGTTCCTGTAATTGTGTACTTCCTGTTATTCACTTATAAAGAGATTTCAAATTCAATTTACAAGGTGATGGGAGGAGAGAAAGTTGTGGTGCTTATATTGGATGGTGAGGTATATAT